AAAAGTTTTTGGTAATGACATGTCAGATAAGGGACTTATATCTAGAATTTATAAAATACTTGAGCACCACAACAAGATAAAGGTAAATAATCCAATTGAAAAATGGGCACAGGATATGAACAGACACTTCACCAAAGAAGACAGTCAGATGGCCAACAAGCAGATAAAGAAATGTTCAAAATCTCTATCTCTAAGAGAGATGCAAATCAAAACAACTATGAAATTTCATCTCACCCCAGTTAGAATAGCAAAATTTAACAGAAAAGCAAGCAACAAATGCTGGTGATTTTGTGGAGAAACTGGAATCCTTATTCACTGTTGGTGGAAGTGTAAAATGGTGTATCACTGTGGAAAGTGGTGTGGCGCTTTCTCAAAAAATTACAAATAGAGATACCATTTGACCCAGCAATTCCACTACTGGGAATATACCCTAAAGAGACCATAACCGACATCCAAGTAGATATATGTACACCCATGTTTATCGCGGCTTTGTTCACAATAGCAAGGAGTTGGAAACAACCCAAGTGCCCATCAACAAACAAATGGATAAAGAAGCTGTGGTATATTCACACAATGAAATACTACACTGTATTGAAAAACAAGGAATTCATGAAATATTATTCAAAATGGGTGATCCTGGAGGACATTATGCTGAATGAAATATCTCAGTCACACAGGGACAAACACTGCATAGTTCCACTGTTGTAGAATGGGACTGACATCAGTGTTGGGGTAAGACTGAGAAAAATTGGATAAATTATTTATACTTCATTGAAACAGATAAGAGAGAGAACAGTTTAAAAGTGATATATTAAAGGGTATTATGGTTATCACAAGAGTCCAGAATTAAGGTTGCATAGTGGAGTACACTTGGCGCGGGGGGATTGTATACCAATGAAGGAATTGTTCTTTTACTCTTCAAAGAGAGGCGCAAAGGGGGGTGGACAGGGAGAAAAGTACAATAATGAATGAATGGAAATCCAAAATCTCTGTAAATGTTCATTAAAATTAATAAAGTAGAATAAAAAAAGACAAATAAGGCATAATTCCATTGTTATAAAAAAAGACTGACATAGGGGTTGGGGGGAGACTGAGAAAGATGGGATAAATAATGAATGCTGCATTGAAACAGATGAGGGAGAGAACTATTTAAAAGGGATATATGATTAAAAGTTATTGTTATGACAGGAGTCCAGAACAAAGGTAGTGGAGTGTATTTGGGGGAAGGGACTGAATGATAAAAGATTTTTTCTGGATCCAAGATGGCGGCAGAGGCAGAGACAGCATGGTGAGCTGTGGGAGCAGCGAACCACTTAAAGCAGGGCCAGTATGGCCTTCCACAGACTTCGGCTTATTGATAATTGAACACTTAAAC